CTCTCTATACACGGTTGTACACCGGCGTGGCAGGTGTCTACAGTGTCATGAAAAGAGTATAAAACACGTTCAACTAATGTACAGGGCACCACGATAAGAGACCTCATATCTCTTGATACCGTGTCATACCACTTCCTGTAAAGAACTCCGTCTTCCATTTTTAGAAGCTCAAAGTCTTTCCAGTAGTGCTGTAATTCACTGGGCTGACTACGAGGGTTGAACTCTCGCTCATTCGGTTTCCCATCGTCGTCCTTGATCCAACTGATGACAGTAGAAAGAATACGATCATTCGAATATTCTTCCTTGATGTCCTCAGATGACACAGGCTTGCTGCCATCAGCTTGAGTGATCCTCAAGATCTCATTTACCTGAGAATGCGATTCATTCTCCGTTTGAGTTGCTGATTCCTTAGTAGCGGTTTCATAACCGTGTCTGCTAAGAAAGTCAGCCATACCCATTTCGGAGCTCTGCCCTGCCTGGTGCTGAATTAAAAAATTGAACGAAGCAAGATCTGCTAATCTCCTCTGAATATACGAATTCTCGTTTCTGAAAATCTTTGATAATGACAGTAGAGCTTTGCAATCTGTGTACACAACAAACCTGGTTCCCTGAAGATAGATCCTCCAGTGCTTCAAAGCCCCATGAAGCGCTATTAGTTCAAGTCTGGTTGCACCAAATTTCTGTTGGTGCTTGGGCACAGCTCTCGACCAGTAAGCGATTACACGACGGGTGCCGCTAATCTCTTGAGTGAGAACTGCTCCTTGACCCCGCTTTGAACTATCAATAGTAACCTGATAGCTCCTATTTTTATCAGAGACATCAGGTACCCCAAGAACTGGACTACTTGTCAAAGCTGCTTTTAGCTTATCGAAGCTTTCCTGGCATTCCTTGGTCCAGTTGAATTTTTTCCCTTTTTTGAGCAAATCATACAGTGGTGCCGCCATTGTAGCAAATTGTCTCAAAAATCGGCGATAATAGTTCATGCTTCCAAGGAATTTCTGTACCTGTTTGACTGATGTAGGGGCTGGGAGGGATTGGATTGGCTTTATCTTTTCTTGATCCAGTTTAACACCATGTGAACTGACCTTGTATCCAAGCCAGAGGACTTCAGTCTGGAACATTTTTGACTTGTCCGGATTGAGCTTCATATTCCCCCAGGAGAGGCGCTCTAGGACATATTTCAACTGCATGAGATGTGATTTTTCATCTGGAGACCATAAAAGGCAATCATCGATGTACAGGATGATTCTGCTGAAAGGAATTTTAGTCATCAATAACAAATTTAATGCCCGACTGTACTGAGCACTTGAATTAGTCATACCCATTACCATACGTTTCCACATGTATTGCTTACCCTTGTAACAAAAGCTTGTTAAATCTTGATCTTCACGTGACAAACCGATCTGTGTAAAAGAACTCTGAAAATCAAGATTCGATAACCACTTACATTCTGACATGTGATCCATAATAGTATTTATTCTGGGTAATTCATAACAGTCTTGTATAGTTTGACTATTCAAAGCGCGCGCGTCCTGGACGAAACGGAATTTCCTTCCACTTTGTCCATCTGGTCCACCATGTCCACTTTGTCTTCCTGGGTTGCCTTTTTCCACAAGAAACGTCTGTGAGTTCCACAAGGAGAATGGACATGGAGTTATGTGATCTGCTTTCAACATACTCTCGATCTCCTCGTCCATTTGATCCTCTAACTTGTAGCTCACAGGCCGAGACGGTATCCATTTTGCCTCATAATCATGCTTCAGTTTAATTTTAGCTTTGTAAAACGAAGCCTCCCCGAGGTCAAACCGATTTCTCGCAAAACAGTGGCTAAACTCAGAGATGAGTGATTTCAAATCATTTTTATATGACTGCGAAATTTTCATCTTGTCTATACCCAACTTTTCGTAAAGAACATTTATGTCCTCCCATCTACCCCTTTCAATTGTTTCTTCGACTGAAATCGCGTCAGGAAGCCTGGGAATGTCAACGTGGTAGTCATGGGTAACGTAATGCTGCGACACTTTGTTTACCCTTTGAACCCCCTGGGAATTGCACAGTGGTTCAAGAAAAGCTACCAACTGATTTTTATACAATGTAACGTCGTTTTCCATGACGTTCACATAATGTATTGGGATTAAATTCTTTCTTGAATAAGAAATTGTCCCAGTTACAAAAACACCATCTCTATTGGATAACTGACGGTAAGGCTCCACAACTCCTTCATAGTTGTTTTTAGCGTTACATATAGCGATTTTTCCCCATATGTAACCCGTCGAGTTAGCTTTAAGAGTAACATTTTTGTTACACCTTATTTTATGACGACCTTTTAAACTTATGGGTTTGTCTATAAATTCAACAACTCCGCTAGGTAGACATAACTTTTTCTCTGGCAAGTTTATACGAGCCTGAACCTTATTCAGCAGGTCCAAACCTATTAGAAATTCGTTGTCCAGACTATCACATACTCCGTAACAATGGGAGGTCACCTGCTCACCAATTGTTACGAGAAGATCTATTTCACCTCTAAGTGGTATGAGATTTTTTCCTATACCCGCTATGAGTGTGCTTGTAGGCTGTATCTTATCCATCAAGTTAGACTGTCTGATGAAACGTGTGTTCACCAAACTTATACCAGCTCCAGTGTCAACCAATAAGTTTACTGGTTGTTTAGCACACCAAGCGTTGACAATGATCTGATTCACACAGTCAGGCTGTAAAGTCTTATTGTTCATTCCTTTGTTAGCTAGCTTTACTTGTTTCTTGCTAACAATAGGAAGTAACTCTTTACCGGCACTAGTATTTTTACTCATGCTGGTAGATGATTTACAACCTCTTATTAGTTTAAACGGTCCCTATGCCCTGACGAAGAAGTATTTGTTATACTACTTTTTGCGTAACAGTTCCTCTTCAGGTGTCCCTTGCGATTGCAAGCCCAGCACCTTCTCATTTCAGAACGAAAAGAGTTCGACTGTCGCCCTTCCACCATGGTATCCCTCCTCTGGCCCCTCGTTACTGATGGACTCCTAGCACGTTCTAGAGACGTTCCTCTTTCTCTAGGCCGGTAATTGGAGGTACGTGGCCAGCGGTCTCTGCTACTCCGCCAAGGTGAGGAGGACCTGTTTGATCCTCGACTGTCATCACTTCCGTGTCGTGGTCTATTCCACTGTGAAGGACTGACAGGGACTGGCTCACCTTGTTTCTTTTGACTTTCATTGTCAATGAAGAAAACCTTAGAGCCTTTCAAGATTGAAGCTGTGCTGACTTCACCTTCGAACATATTACTTATTTTCTCGAGTTTCTTGGCCAACTTTAGCGCTTCACTGAAAGTTGTGACTGAACTCTCATTCAACTTTCGTCTTACCTCATTGTCTTTAACACCACGCATCAGTGCCAAAAGACAGTTTTCGTCTATTGAGTCCTCGCTGGTGAAAGCAATTGTAGCTTTCTCCCTGAGACGATGAGAGAAACTTGTTATACTCTCACCGGCTGCCTGTTTACACTCAAGGACCTCGTTTTTTAATGGTACGCTATCTGTACCATAAACTGCTTCCTTGTAAATCTCACAGAAAAGAGAACAATTACGCTTCTCGTCATCCCCGAGATTTACAGATTTCAACGTCGAGTAAGTTTCATCATCGACGTGTTGAAGAAAGAAAAGATGCAACTGGCTATCATTAATCTGAGTAATCTGTACATACTCCTGAAAACGTTCACAAAACCTTGAGAAATTTTCTCCTTTCTCAAACTTCCTGAGTTTTGTGACCTGTCCTAGTTTAATTCTAGACAGGGCACTTGAGATTTCGGTGGCACGACTTGCCTCATGCTCCCCCGATTCCACCTTCACCTCTGGTTCTGGCAGTAACTGGGCTATGCCAGTTTTAAACTGCGTTGAGGTTTCATCCTCCTTTTCCAGCAACGCCTTGACTTTTTCCAAAAGTTGCTCAACTGATTCTCCCATTCACAGCTGCTAATTATGGTCTGAAAAAGGAGACAAATTAACAATCAAGCAAATAGATGTACAAAGAACACGATGTCGCCTGAATTAGGGTTCTTTTGATGCAGGCTCCACTTGTTGTAAGCGTACTTTTGTGCTTTAATTTCAAGTGGGTCTTTAATTTACAATAAGAACTTTCTCTCTTTGTATTTGATTTACTTTGGATTTGGGTTTGACAAGGTATACAGTTGGATAGAAATTTACAAAATATATTATCAAAGTATAACTCTCAATCGATTGATCCAACTCCGTTCTGAGCCCTTCGATCAGCATCCCGGCTTTACAAACTGCAGTGATCACGTGCTTTCTTCGTCACCACCGTCCTCCAATCACCGAGCTCCGCGACCAAGCTGCTTTCTTTCGAACTGTTGTTTTGTCCTCCGGGGTTAAGCCGTCAAAACAACTCTGTCTCGTCGCTGTGATCTGGAAGGGTGTTTTGGCTGTCTCTGTTTAACTGCGTGAGAAGGAGTGAACGGCTGAAATCGGATAACGGTTAATATTAACACAAAATCAAAATCACTGAATAATTTGAACTCGAGTAGAGATACCTAAATAGCTTAGGGATATAACAATAAGGTAGTCACTTGTAGGTTTATATTGATGTAGGTTTATCTTTGAAATAAATATTTCAAGGGTATCACCCGTTAACAACTAGCGCGGCGCGTGTTAGCGTCTTTTAACACTAGCTAGCGCAAACAATAAATTTGCGCTAACTAGCGCAAGCTAGCGCTAGTTATCGCTGGATCGCGCCAATCGCCATCGAGCGCTATCAGCAGAAACTAAATTACCGATAGCAAATAGCAATGAGATAACTTCTAACCTGGTTACAACTACAAGAATGGCTACCAATGATCGGTCATCAGCCGCTGTCTACTCTTTGATCGAGAAGTTCGAGATTGAAACTGTAAACAATGTCCGAGAACAGAAATCTAAAACTGGAAGATTTCGCTGCACACCCGCTGCCTTCCTAACATATATATCACAGTGCCGACTAGCAGGCTTACTGATGGGTCCGATTTATGGAGTTCTCATCTACCTCTATATAACCCATCTTATACTAGCAGGACTTCCCTTCACAGCACCCGACAACTTTACTTGCAGTTCTACTAACACCTCTACCAACACCTCTACCAACACCTCTACCAACCCCTCTACTAACACCTCTACCAACCCCTCTACTAACACCTCTACTAACACCTCTACCAACCCCTCTACTAACACCTCTACTAACACCTCTACCAACCCCTCTACTAACACCTCTACTAACACCTCTACCAACACCTCTACCAACCCCTCTACTAAACACATCTACTCCAGCTGGACAGCAGGACTCTACCAGACCAGCATTAACGAGACTGCTCTGATGAGTAAGAGAACAAGTCACCTAGTGGGAGGAGGGATTGGTGCAGTGGTGGGGTCCGGACTAGCTCTCACCAGTGTCTTCTCTACCAGGGTGAGATGCAACATGGTCCTCATGTTACCAAGTCTGCTGACAAAGCGTGGGAGGAGCTTCATGTTCAGCTTTGCACTGGCACTAGTGATTGAGGGACCACTTTCCACGCTAGAACACAATGTTCAAGAGGTAGTCCGTTCGTTCACCTGCATGTACCGCGAGATTAAAAGTATGGCCGAAAGGTCCGTAGAACAGTTTGTTAAAATCATGGAGCAGTTTAAAAAACTCCTTGCTATGATGAACGACGCATCCAAAGCTTATCTTGCTCAGCTAGAGAGGGATCAGTTTATAAGTTTAAAGGAAGCAGTGCAAGAATGATATTTATGTAATTCAATTATTACGGGATTATTGAGTTATGCTATTTATCTATTACACGAATTCACTACACTCCTCTCATACCATATTACATAACGGTGATATTTAATCACTATGGTACGACTCTCCACACACAGTCTCACGGTATATATTGCTAGTTCACGTTACCTCCCCGCGACCTTGCAAGGATTCGTAAGTCTGTACAAGGGATAAGTAATGTGCTGTTAATGTTAGAGTACAGATAATGAATCTCAAGTATCTGCAGCTTTTTCTAGAGCTGCTCTTGTTCGCTAAATACATTTTATTGTACGTGACATGTAGTAGTTTATACGTGATATCTGATATATAACGTATGTATGTATAGTACTAGTATTTTGATCACGCAAATTACACAAAGCTTGAGATCTAGATCGTTTGTCGAAGAGTTTGCGTGTCGTTTCTTATCGTTAGCACGATATTTATTATAGTATTTATGTTATCAAGCACTATCAAATCCAATTTCTATCAAATCCAAGTTCTTATAATTGTACACAGTTTTTTTAATGTATGTACACTGTGAATACGTTTTCTTTATTAATTCCTTAACTGTGCACTTTAGTTTGTTATTAAGCACAGTTAAATTCAATTGTTCAGCCTGTGGTGAGTAACATGCAGTGCAAGCAATATTTTCGTTACTGTTTATTGTTCAACAAAGCTCGGTACGTACTTTCCAGCTTTTGCTTGTTATCCACTTTTGTTCTTGTTGTATGCTTGTAGAGGTTAGCTAAAGCTTCCGAATCAATGATTTCAATATAATTTTTTATTCAGTTCTATCTTATAAATCTCCGATTGTTGAGACCACGTTACATATTCTACTATTGCACCAATGACATGTGTAATGTGTATTGTGTAATGTGTAATGTGTAATGTGTATGGAGTAATTTGTGTAATGTGTAATACCCGTGTTATTACACATATCTACAGTACTATAAAACAGCAGGTATAATACATACTTGCACCTACAGCCCCTCAGCTATATAACTGTCCTCCTATACATAGTTGACAAATGTATACTCTCTTAAATACAGTACCCTTACCTATATCTATATATAGTAGCTCCCGTCTCTTTTAGAGGAGTATAATTTACTCTACTGTTTGTTGTGTACACAATTTTACCTGCTACCCCTCAGCTATGTTTGTTCACTTTGTTATATATCTGCTAAAATTTCTTGCTAATTTATCGGTAACTCTCAGTTCCAGTTTTAAAGTTTTAATAACGCCGGTGTGACAAATAAATGAACTTTTTCTATCCTTTATCGGGTCGTCAATTCGTTTGTGGTTAAATCAATTGAAACAGCGTTTTAAAATTTGGACAATTTTGATACAAAGATAGGTAATGGCAAACCACTCGAAGCCTCAAGCGGTAAGGCACATGAGCAGCAATATTTTTCTTACAGCCATGAAATGGCTTGTATTGTATCAGTTTATTGAAATTAGGAAAATCCATCACCTTACCCGTTATGACCATTTAGGAGCATATTGATTTTGATATATAGTATTATAGTATACACCACGGACGTGAAAAAAGCTTATAAACTTCCGACCTTTTGTTGTTAATAGTTTATGTGAGCCATTATGCGCGGCGATGTACATGTATACATACTAACATACTGTTGTGTGTCACAGTATACGTTACTAACCATACCTGGAGGTTTTTTGTCATAATGTTTTTTGTTATGTCTTTGATAAGTGCATTAAAATGATAATTTCAACTTTACAATCCTAAAGGCAACTTTATCTGTACTCGGCTATGTTTTGTTCGATAAGCTCCTTTTTAATCGTTTCAATAATGAATAGTATCTAATCTTGTGTGAGTTTTTGACTTTGAATTGATAACACTTATTATATATATTTTTGAGTAAACATTGGCTGGTACTTCGGGCCGGTCGGCCGGTCCCCAACAAAAAAAAACAGTCATTACTTCATTATTTTGAAAGGAAACCCCCTTTATTTCTACTATTTGATGGCTTTAAAATTCAATTTCAGAGTTGCAATAGTTGAATATTAGCTCGTTTTTATTAGCATGGTATTTGAGAATGTAGTATCAGAAGTAGGGTTATATTTTACTACTAGTGTAACCCGTGCCTTCGGCCCGGACTTCACTATTGCAGTTGAAATGCAAAAGTATAAACCCGCCTATTATATTCGAAAACACGTATTACATTTTCGTAGTTAAAACGGTGCGAAAGTATGAACTCGCTCATTCCAAACATACCACAATTTAATTCTGAGTGCCCCTCACATATCTAATAGTAATACTTGATAGGCAATCTTGAATCTTGAAGTCCCCTGCCAAATTACCTAATTATATAGCAAATATATTATGAGGGGAGAGAGAGAGCGAGAGGTGGAGAGTACACACTTTAGTATGACATTTGGGTCACAAAATTATCAATTAAAGTTTAAACCACTTACCACCAACCGATTTAAAAAACCTTTATCATTTTGCTTCGTCAGAGTTTTCTCGGCACTATACTGAAATAACCAGCCCCTAACTCTTACCGTTTTCTTCATTAAACCGTTCGGAAATTTCCCGCACACAAACAGACAGACACATACACATCTTGAGATTATTGTTTAAGATGTATGATATTATAGAGATATGAGATTTTAATGTGTCCGTCACGTGGGCTCATTAAGAAGGTGTGCGTGTAAGGTATTACTGTCCCTCATTATTGGGAAAGTTATTTGGAGTAATGAGGTTATTGGGTGTAATAAGGTGCTATCAGTATCAAGCACTACCTAGAAACTTACCGGCTTAGTCTACCAGATATTATATTGAATTGATTAGATTTGATTGTGTTGATGTCACAACTGTTGCTCTTGAATTGATTTCATAAGTTGCATTTCTGGTGACTCTAAAGTCTAAACTTTCAACTAACAAAATATTTATAATTATATGCTTACTTTTACTATAATCTCACATCTAAAAGTCACACTAGGTCTGGTTTAGTTGTAAAATCCGGATCGGAATATTATTTATGAGTCGCATAGTTGAAATATTTTCTTAGGTAAATAAACAAATAATTTAAGATCATGAATACGATGTATATTGTATAATAATGTTGTCACATTGAAACGTTGAGTAATTCCTTTCCTGATAAGAGCCTTTTCCTTGTCGCATCAAACGGGATCCATAGAAATTAACCCAAGAAAACATTTCTGGTTTAGTTGTTTTAAAAAACATGACTACCACACTTATCCCACTAATGTTTATTTTCGTTTACCTTTGTCTGTAAGTTTCAATATTTATTACTCTCGCCTGTCGTCGATCGTCTGTCGATTATGAGAATCAACAGATTGTCTTTTATAACGGCCAGGTAGCGCAGTTGGTTAGCCAGCTTTGCAATCGTGAGGTTGCGGGTTCAAATCCGACTGTCTGCCTGGTCGTGGGGTGAGCGTCGTTGACGTTCAGCTAAGGATCATGAGTGGTCTATGCAGCCCCCCGGTCTACTCAGCCGAATATTCGAGAAATCGGGTGTGAGGGTTAAATGAGGAGCTGCACATTGCAGCAAAGTCTCGGGCGAAGAAAGTATGGTACACACTACCTTAACCGTCACTGGCTAAAAACAAATCCTTCGGCTTCCTGTAATTGGCTGGTTGCACTTGTGTAACAATATGGCTGTTGGAATACTCCGAAGTAAAATAAGTGTCTAGATAAAAAAATACTACTTCCTTTCGCTTCTTGTGATCTTGTCTCAACTTTTTTGATGTGTATTCATTGTAGCTAACATTCTGTAGGTTAAAAAGGTCCCTAAAAACTTCAAACAAGATGACCGACTCGGACGCCCTGAACGGGAGGGATGAAACAGAGGAAACATCTTTGGTCGAACAGAAGCCGTTTTGGACACGGATGGATAAGTTGTTAGCAGTGTTTGGTGCTCTGATCAATCTTGGACTAGGAGTGGAAACTTATTTACCTGGAGTGATAACTCAACAAATATCCTGTGTCACTGAACTGTCTGAGTGGCAGGAAGGAACATTGGATTGTATACTTTACATCACATTAGCTGTGGCTCTTGTCGTTTCTGGGCCAATTTCGGACTGGTTTGGAAGACGGGAGTTGCTTCTGTTCTCCCTTTATTCGAGTGTTCTGAGTACAGTGGTCTGTGCTAAAGTTGCTGACTACTACTTGCTCCTTCTTTCTAGAGCCCTCATCGGGATTTGTATAGGACTCGGCTTTACGACTTGTTTTGTCATGTTCGCTGAGCTGGCTTCCGAAAAGACGATTCTACATGTTATATTGATGATTGCGTCTATAATGTACGCTATCGGTGGAGTCTGGTCAGCTGGTTTAGGTTATCTTTTACCAAAAGGAACAATGAAAGTTCCCAATTTTGTTGCCAGAACCATCAAACTCGGCCTATTCTATGGAATTATGGAATAACTGTATTCCAAGGCTGGCTTACAATCCTTCTCGTTCCAACCATGATCCAGATGCTCAAAATCAAAAAGGCTGAATTACCAAACAGTGAATGTTCGGTGACAGTGACTCAAGGACCGGAATTATTGTTATTGGGCATTGTCACTTCAGCATCCGCATTTGGAATGTTATTCTGGCACTTGATCAGAAATATGCTCAGCTTCCGCAAATCACAGGTGATAGCCGCATTGTTAAATGTGGTGGCTTTTACAGCGATGCTAGAAGTAGGAAAGGAAAGCCTTGTTGTTATTGTTCTGAGCAATTTCATGGTCAAATTCTTGTACGGGTTCTCTGGGATGGCCCAGACTTACATCCTTGCTGATATTGATTACTTCGGAACAAAGAACTTTGCACTGGGTTCCGGAATATCGTGTGCTATTGGCATGGTTGGCGGGATGCTTGGAACAGCCATGGTCGCCTTTACACCGATGTCTTATGTTATCATCACTGCGTTGGTGATCAGTGCACTCAATATTCCGTTAGTACTCTCCATGTCTGAAGTCAAGTTGAATTAGATATCGAGAAAGAAACATCTTTGATAACACCGGATATGTACATGTGCAACATTTGACACAAAACACTTTGCAGAAGCGGGAAAAAAACGTATAGAATAGTCGTTTAGAAAATACGTATTGTATAGAATTTATAATTCTTATTTTAAGTTAGTCAAAATATTGTGTCATTTTCAGGGTTTTTAGTGTAAGTTTTTGTTGATTTTTAATGCAAATGAAAAAAAAATTATGAAAACTGTAACAATGATAAAACAAAATATTTTTAATAGAAAACAAACAATCATTTCTAGTCACTCGATAAATATAAATTTACAGTGTAAATAAACCAATATATTCTGAAATCTAAAAGCTCCGATATAAACTCTCGGCCTCGCTGAACCTAAATAATATAAAATTTCGTTGATTTGCAATGCCACGATAAACACCTTAGGGGTCGTTCACATATTTGATATTACGTAATCATTTTTTGGAACATTCTTACCCCCACCCCTCCGTAATCAGTTTTATGTTATAATTATATGTGAACGACCCCTTAATGGTAACAGATTTGCTTAAAGCATCAGTTATTTCTAGCTTTATGGAAACCTTTTTTTATCAAATTACCCCGGTCCTGCATTTCAGTGTTAACTTTTACAAGCCATTCGGTGTGAAGTGGTTTTATCTTAGACAACTTTAGGTTAACCTTAACATCAGGTGGAACTTTCTTAGCACTGTTTCATTATAACCTCCCCTGAGTAATATGAACTATAACAACGTCGGAGATTGTCCTTGGCAACACGATTTACCGTACTATCTAGAGGCTGGAACAAGTTTGTCATGTTGGTCATGAACTATGTTGTTGAGTGCCATAATTTCGTTGACTTTCCACCAAGTTTGGTTCCCGTATAATTGTAGTGCTACACGTATCCTAGTGCGAAACATACCCTAGTGCGAAACCTTCAAGATCGACACTGTCACACTACAGTACGCTACCTGGACTGTAGTGCGACACGAACTAAAGTGCGACCAAAAACTTTACACATTCAATAAAAATTTGACATTGCAATACAATGTTTTAAAGTTTTAATGACAAGAGTGTAGTCGTGTAACTGTATGACTATGAGTATTATCGGGGTTAAATATTCAATTCAAAATCATTGTTCCAACGCTCTCCAAGTTCAATAGTCCATTCTGTCATAATCATCGTAGCAAGGGCGGGGGGGGGGGGGGGGGGGGGGGGGGGGGGGGGGGGGGGATAACGAATTTTTTGTTTTTTTCAAAAATTTACTTTTACGGTACCATAACAAAAAAAAATTCATTTCGAGCTATTTCGATTTTGAGCTATATTTTTATCATTTTATTGGTTCCTTTTTTACCTTTTTTTTTTTTTTTTCAAAAAACTACTTTTACCTAAACAAAAAAACCGTTATCCCCCCCCCCCCCTAGCAATCAATCACAGCGCGTTCAAGCGACGGTCGTAATTGATCCACTTCTTCAGTCGGGCCTCAGCTAAATGGTCCACGTTTTCCACAGTGCCGAACAGGAAAGATCTTCTTCAAGATCAGGGTGAAGAGCGGGGAACAACAGAATGCCACATGGCCTTCGTCCGAGCAGTGCGTACCATTTTACTCTTAGCGAGGGATTCCTGCTGACAGTTCAGTTTTGACATGGCTTCAAAGGAGAGGGGTCCAACAGCGTCAGCAATTAGGTGTTTGGTACTGGTAGGGAGGTCAGTATCGGAAGCTTTCCGTTTCATGTTCTGCTTAGCGGTGTAGACAGAGTTTGCTGCAGGAGTAGGAGGGTGGAAATGAGTCTTCGTACTGGCCACAGTAGTGTTGTTCGCCATATATAATGTCATCGTGACCTTATATATGGCCCAAGCATATGAACTTTTTATTCCAATAAGAGATATATCTTCATGCGATGCGTGTGATAGGAATTAGGATCATATGCTGTGGATCACATACTGCATACGTGGCTTGAACTGACCCGAAGGAATTATGATCAGTGGATAATTTTGAAATACATGACGTGAACCGACCCGACGAATCACTTAATGGTCCATAAGAAGGATAGGATCTGACCTGAACATGGAAATAAGACAGGATATTATGACTATGTCGCACTAGGGTACGCTACCTGGATCGTAGTGTGACACGTACTGTAGTGCAATACTGCCGTTCCCTGAGAAAAGGCAGTAAGTCACATCGATGTCATTTTGAGAAAATGGGACAAACGTGTTTGTCGTTTTTTAGGTAATTTTATTCGTATAAACGGGGTTAATTTGGACATCTTTGTGTAAATAAATTTTTTTTCATATGTCCTAAACATGCTTAAAAGCATAAATTCACCAACACTGATCTATAAAAACCATTTTTCTTCAGAATAACTGAACTATTTTCCCATCCGCATTGGACTTACTGCCTTTTCTGAGGGAATTGCGGACTTACTGCCTTTTATCAGGATCGATTTTAACCGATTCCTCTCTAGAAAGGCAGTAAGTCCATTTTTCCTCAGATAAAGTCAACACAAAAAATACAACATTTCTATATTTTTGATCATATCCTTGCAATATAATTATGTGGGCCTCTTGTGCATTGCAAGTGTGTAATATTGACGAAAAATGGATAATTTCTCGCTCAAAATGCCTGTAACTCCTTAAATACCGAATATTTTGGAATAATTTTTACAGCATCGTATTCAGCTTGGTCAGACACATTAAATTGGAAAAAAAATATTTGAACATACAATATTTAAAGCACCAAATTTTTCAAAAAATGTTTCAATAATTCACACAACTTGTGTTCAGGTTCAAAAATTTTGAAAATAATATTTTTTTAAATTTTGAATTATTAGTACCAAAATTTTGTTGCTTGCTGAGCTGATTACGACCACATAAAAATTATTTCGATATAACTAAAACTGTGGAAGTTATAGGCCAAAAACTATAAAAACTGCAATTAAATCTGGACTTACTGCCTTTTCTCAGGGAAAAAGTTCCCTCACGGAAAAAGTTCCCTCAGAGAAGGCTTTACAAATGGACTTACTGCCTTTTCTCAGGGAAGGTTTTGGGATTATGTGCTAAATTTTCAAGTTTTGTGTGACTTACTGCCTTTCGTGACAGCTAAAACAGTATTTTTATAACGTGATTCATATCTTAAGTTGTAGAGAATCTTTTCCTGAAAATTTTGGTACCAATATCTCAAATTTTCGAAAAATGGACTTACTGCCTTCTCTCAGGGAACGGCAGAATAGAGGGTGTTTTTGTCGGACTTCGCACTAGACTACTTGTCGCACTAGGGTACGTGTCGCATTACAGTACGATTTCTGTGCCTTCGGCCGACCAAGGAGAACCTTTCGGTTTCCGTCGTTAACTTAATTGTGAGTAATGCATTCGTTAAAAGTTGTATGTCCTATTTGCATCCCCGAAGCATAGCATTGTTTATTCCTGGTCCGGTTAGCTTTGCGTCTCAGAACTAAAGAGGTCCGCTATGCTTTAGTGATCTATGCTGTCCACCAGGGTACTGTAGATCTAAGGGTTCCCCGTGTGATGGGACAGGCTGTGATAAAGCATCTCTGCAGGATGTCCGAGATGAACTGTTTTCGAGCGTTGAGATCTTCCGCTGTAGAAACTGATTAGAAACAGTAATGGTGTCAGTAAAACTCTGCTGCTACTAGATGATTGTAGAGCGTACAGTCACACTTCAGTGAGGAGTGTGACAAAGCTAACTCGGTCCCCTAATCCTAGGTTAAATGTGATGGCCTCAAGATGAGCCCTTCGCTGTCTAGCTGTATTAACTGAAAAGTAGTTACTGGAGGGAGAAGTGCCAAGACTACTCATTATCAGTGTGTCCTTGTAGTCAGAATGAGCGAATTGGGATCCCTAGCTCTGTGGTGGGTGACTTCGATGGGACATGAAAACTGAAAGAGAATTTCCTGGTGCTTGGTAGCTGTTAGTGTTGACTTCCTGGTTCTCAACCTTTGTACTCAACAAGAGAGCACACCACCCGTTAGTGCCAACCAGGCCACACCACGTGGAGGTTCGGAGAGGATTTCGTGACCCGGGCCGCGTGGCGGTGACCATCTCAGTGTACATGTATTTTGTGACTGATATTGCAGGTTTAGGGTTTCAAACGATATCCGGGGACCCGTACATCAGCCCAGCCTGCTTCCTTCGCTTTATGATGCTAACATTAAGTTTCTTATCCATAATAAATTCCTTGTCCCTGAACAAGGGTATGTCTTATTCAAGAAGGTTAATATATATATATTTTATACAATAAAATTATGATATTTTTGGGGCTGGGGCTTTGGTCTACGTAACAATAGAACAATAGGACTTCCATCGCAGTCCTATGAATAATTGATACACTTTTGTAAATTGTTGAGACAAAATAATCTTATTGAAAAACAAATACTCATTTCTAGTCACTCGATAACTTATTAAGTAATTTACACTATTTACAAATATCTTCTGAAATCTAAAAGCTCCGATATAAACACTCACTGAACCTGAATAATCTAAAATGTCGTTGATTTGCGATGCCATGGTAAGAATATAATTATATTATCACTTCAATAGTCTGATTGTCACTGTTCTAAAAGATTAAGTTGTTGCAGTGTCATGCCCTGAAGAGACGACGTCGAACCTTCCGCTACGTCTAAATTCTTCATTCTTTTGTACCTGCGAAAATAATTCGGTCTAAATATTTATGGTGATGGAATATTGTGGTTAAATTGTGTTTCGAATAAATTTTAACTGCCACCAACCATTTCTGTGACCTAGTGTTCACAAAAAGTGTTACCGTGAAAATTATTCTAGTGTCAATCATCTTTTATAACTGCACAGGCAATGAGATATTGCCCTAACAATTTCGGCAAAAGTTAAACAATTAAATTAAAGTATAATTCAAATTCGGAATTGCAGCCTATCAGGTCAAATCCAAATCAAACAAATGAGGAGATGATAAGACTTACTCATAGAAGCAGGTTAGACTACACGATAAAAGGGAGAGAGGCAAGTTCCGGACCCCGAAAGTTCGCTCCATAACACTCCTCACTATAACCAGACCTTCTCCCACCAAGTTACCACCACAGCATTCACACACTGTCTTGTTACTGTGGAGAAATCAGGTTTAAGAGCTTAAGAGGGAGGGAGAGAGAGGGAGGATCTTTGTCGCAATTAATGATAAACGAAACTAATTATAATACATGTTTTAAAGAATGCTGGTAAAATACCTTTCAACCCAATCTGAAAGTTCATCAGAACAGGTTGCCCGGTAATCCATCTCGAAATCCACCACCAACTTGGCGCACATGTCTTTCAAACTCTGTAAAGGAGAAGAAAGTTAAAAACTTTTACTTCAGGTAATAACTTATTTATAAGTCCTTGAAAATAATAACAGTCATTATTTAAGTTATTTTGGGCCGAAACTTTAACAACTAGGGCTGGCACTGGGTGATCGCTGTTGTTTAATACTTTAATACCAGTTGTTTGTGTACGAGTGGAATGGAGGCACATGATACACCGTAGAAGAGGTGTGTGTGATGCAGGCCACTCCAACGACTAGGAGGAGATCTCTTCATGTAGCATGTATGTATGACGATTGTGTTTGTGTGCTTTGATCCTGGACATCAAGTTAATCATGGATAGCTTTATGAAATGGCAAATGCCTGGTGGTTTTCATCTGCTTATCAGTCACAACCTTTAACTGCACAGTGCACAATTGGAAATTTAACGTGAGACAATTTTGTCATGGCGCCAATTTGAAAAGGCCTTTTATCTTTTGTAGTACATCAAGATATCATAGTATGAAGAATTTCTTTCACTTCCAGACGAAAAGCTCTAATATCCTTGTGTTATCTATATTGCCTATGCACTAATATCATTACTTCGTTGAACTTTCTAAATAACTCAAGTTGTAACTTTATAAGGGGTGTACGTGCCAAGCGTAATCCTTATCTCTGTCTTCAAAACGAAATTAATGAATTCCGGTCCGAGAACTCCGTCATGTTTGGTGGGACCACTATTTCGTTCAAGTATTAATTATTCATACATTTTGTTATCGGCATTTTTGTCGGTTCATCTAAAAATCCTGCCGGGTTCAGAAAAAATTGTTATTTCATCGCCTGAATTTTTTGTCCACTGCACCAACCCAAAAATATTTTCCGACTAATCATATTACCAGTTTGACTTGTATCTTTGCATTCAGCGATGCGTTTATAAGTATGTCTTCGATTTGGGAGAATATTGAAAAAATGAAGTTACTTTAAGCGAAGCCCAATTTTTAGTTTTACTAGTTTGACGGGATGTAGTTTTAAAATTGAATATCATTTAATATCTATTATTATGTTTATTAATTAACCATAGTACCATTAATTATCAGTAAAACCAGGAACATAATCACAGCATGGCATCACCACCCACAGCACAAACCAAATATGAAGAGAGAAGTTTCATTCATAGCAATCCTGTAACTACAGAAGACACTGTTCTCGGAGTTGCAGAAGATATTGGGGAACTTATCACCATTAATCCTGTTGTGACCATCAATGACACGGCCATTTCAAATGTATTTGAGTTGGAATCCGAGCATGGAATAAACTCAAGTGAGGCACCTGGCGAGCAAAACACACCGATCATTAATCGGGTTAAAGGTATTGGATTGATATTGATAGCTATTTTAAGTTCAGTGGCTCAGGGGGCCCTCACCAAATATCTGAAGGACATTCCAACTGGAGAATTGATCATGACAACGGGCACATATTCTCTGCTGTTAACCTGCTTGCTGGTGACTTTCAAAGGCATTTCTGTCACCAACTTTCCTCTAAAGAAACTAGTTTTTGTTAGAGTTATGTTCAATGTGGTTGTGGCATTGTCCAAAATTTGGAGTTTCCAAAATCTTCCTTTAGGAGATGCTACAGCACTGATCTTTACTTCTCCACTTTTTGCTTGCATCCTGGGGCGGATATTTTTAAAGGAGAAATTGACCCCACCTCACCTAATAGCAATGGTATGTGGAATTTTCGGAATATTTATGATCGCTAAACCTACTTTTTTATTTCATGGCGAGGCAGAGAATGCAGCACCTTGGTACTACAACTTGGTTCCCATTCTTGGAGCAGTTGGCATGGGCTCGGCTTACACAGCTCAGAGAAAAATCGGTTCGGCAGTCAATTGTGTGACCATCTCGGTGTACATGCTCATTGCGGGAAATATCGCAGGTTTAGGGTTTCAAACGATATCCGGGGACCCGTACATCAGCCCAGCCTGCTTCACTCCTCGCTTTATGATGCTAACATTAAGTTTCTTATCCATAATAAACGCCTTGTCCCTGAACAAGGGTATGTCATATGAGAAGGTTGCAACTGTGTCCCTGATGAGAAACCTTGATACTGTTTTAGCGTTCCTGGTTCAACTTGTTGTATTTAGTGAGCAGGTGGAGATTCTCTCTCTGGCAGGAACTGCTCTGATAATTGTTGGAACTCTCGTTTTAACACTCTCTAAAGTGTTCGATGTTTCTTGTGGGATTTCGATATGATTTTATGAGAAGCTTATAGTTGTACTACTACTAGAGTAATAGTTTGCTGTGAGAAGTTTGAAGTTGAACTTATTTTCGTTTATTTAGTGTACTATGTACTTGATGATTCGTTTTCTGTAAAAGCGTTCAATGTATGTTACTTGAATAATTAATATAACTAGAATATAACAAGTGTGCCCCAAGTGTGTTTAGTTTACTTAAACTGTGCTTAAAGTAATTTTTTGCTTCGACTGTGCCCCAAGTGTGCCCCAGGAAATTCAATTTTGTGCCCCAAGTGTGCCTCTAATAAAAGTTTAGAGATGCTCAATTGCGAGCCGATAATAACCAAGGTTTCCCATGTGCTGTTACATTCAAGTCAAAAGAAAGTCTTGATGATAATTTCTTGGATTAAAATAAGGGTATATGACACTAGGGCGGTAGACACAAGGGCTCTTAATTGTGTCTTCCGCCCTCGTGTCGGGTTCCCTTAAAATAATTCTAGAGTTCCATAATCATGAGCTTGAGGGAATAACACATGGGAGATAATAACTGGGATTTTCAACTAGGATCTGAGAATCCTAATTACACTAAAAAATGTCTCACCATAGGAGAGTTGCTGCTGTAGTGACCCCACAACTTTTGGGAAGTAAAGTTGTTCTTGATATCTGAAAGTGGGTTTATTTGAGAGTCGAAAATTTACTATCTGTAAAAATCAAAAATATTTAACGCTAAGATCGATTACCGTTGAAATTTGTATACTTAATCCCTGAACTATTCAGAATATTAATTAAGATACATTTTTCCACAAACATGGTCAAAAATTGAAAGTGAAATAAAGCTCCAACGTTAAAAAATTTAGCAGTTTGTACAAACTTACAGAGGGACTGGAGCCTGGTGAGACCGAGGAGGGAGAAAGGGAGGGCGGGTAACTGGTTACCCTCCAAGTTGAGGTGTTGGAGGGTTGAGAGGTGCACTACAGAGGCAGGCACTTCTGTAAGGTGGTTGTATGATAGGTTTAGCTCTTCTATTGCTGGGAGCGAGAAAAACCTGGGGGTAAAGTGGGTTGTTTGTTCGGAATTTGAAAAAGTTTACATTGTACTGATGATGTTGGTGACTGTCATGAAGTAAATTGGGACAACGCCGGCATTCACAAGTCATGTGGTCACTCTTACTTGAAACTACAAAAGTAAGAACTGAGAATGTAAAATCGAACTAGCTGTTCAACTGAATTAAACTTGTTTGTTTGTTTGTTTGTTTATAGAACCCGTCCCCAATCTCGTATCGGAAAATGACTAAACTCAGGTCTGAGTGTGAATACGGGTGGTACCTGCAAGAGTGTCCATTAAGCATTTAGAGTTCTGTAAAACTGCAGTTACAATTGTGCTAGAGTATTTTTAGTATATACGATTGGTATCAGATATATATCCCTACATGCTTCCAAAATTTGTAAAGCCGTCTTACATACATATCATATTACACCGGAGCCTACACAGTGCAATCTCCTCCAGTCGATCTGCGCCGTGTATGTTTATATAAGCGCGCGGCGCAGACTGGAGGAAACCACACTCTGCAAGTTCGATCCAGTGCAATGCTACATGTACGTACTACGGCTTCATCTCCAACTTTCTGCACAATGTACTGGAATGTTTTGAAGGAAAAGAAAGAACAAAAAAAAGGTGATATATATATAAATAAAATCAGCGATTTAATGTTAGCCTTAGGAGGGTAACTTTAATTCCCTGGTTTCTAAAATCAGCTTTTAAAAAAAAATAATAATAAAGTATGTAACGTCGATACCAAACCGATTATTGAGCGATAATAACTGAGTAGTTGATTCCTGGGTTGCGGAGTCATTTAGATGTTCCAGTTTTCGAATTTGGTTCTTGTTCAGTTCTTGACCAGAAGTGTCTAATGAAGTAAGTCAGACAAGCAAACTCTTCCTTTAATGCTGATATAAGTCGTCTCAATCCCAGAAATTATGAATGATGACCCAGTGTAAAAGTGCAGAAATCGGCCGAAAATAACAAAGACTAAAAACAGTTAAAAAGTGACAGGATTCAAACACAAGGAAAATTAATAACTTAGAGCCTAATAAGGAATATCTCTTCTGAGAGGGTGAGAGGTTCTTTAATTAGAGCTAATGATTAAATGAGACCCACTAAAGGTACTAAATTAACCGGACTGCTAGCAAGGAATCGAGAGTCGAGTCTGAATTAAACTTATATATATATATATTTTGTAGCTGTACTCCTACACATTAAAAGTCGGTGTTGATTAGATCTTCGAAATAAGTCTTTGCATCATTTTATTACATCGTTATCTCAAATTATTTGTTATATAGTAGTGTTGAAAGTATTATATATATATATATATATATATAAACTTTAACTAGCATTTTCAACAGGAAATGCATTTCAATTTACAAATCAAGTTATCACACAATGTTTTTACCCGTCAGGGATGTAGTGAATGAGGCAGAAAGAGAGGTTCAGCTCAGCCAACTTTGGTAATCCCGACATATCTGAAATATTTTCCGTCCTGTAATTTGTAAACCATCAATTAGCTAACCATATAAACGATCTTAGCATATGAGATTAGCATAATACCCTTGTTATGCTGTTGGAAACATCGGGAAGGGGCTTTTCGATGTGCTTCTTATAAGCTTATATTCTGGTGTAATTTATCTACATTCTACTCGTGCTATTAACTATTTGTGTATTTCAACTAACATTTCAATTTTATACAAAAAATTATATTCACACGAACCTGTAGGCAGTTGGATGATAGGGTTATTTCGGAAAGTCAGAGATACTAAGTTTGGTAAATGTAGTGCTTGCACCGGGATGGTCTGAAAAACGTCGGAATTAGGGAAACTGAGCTAATTATTCAAACTCAGTCATGAAATAAACGGAGTTTAAGTTACGGTCCCTCACTTTGACTGTAATTAAAAATTCCCTCCCCTTAAGGAAGAGGGTTCCACTTTCGTAAACACTCTTTTTTTGGACAGACCAGCTAAGTTCGGAAAAATAAACACACACATCTAACTAGCGCGCGTATATATTCACACAGCGCACCCGACATGACAATTATCACATAAATTATTCATTCGGTTTTCGCGCCGGCAACAGCCGAATTTATTTTGTTATTTCACTTTGTTCATGACACCTTAATCAGAATTAGTGCTGGATCATGTCCGCGATAATCTTCCTGTGTACAGGACACAGTCAGGTTGAAATAAAACTAACCTCGAAGAATTAGGTCTACTAATGTGTAGATTTATGAGAAATAAATATGATCACCTACATAACCAAAGTCCAAAACGTACACGAGCCAACAATTTCAGGAAATTCTCTCTGAAATTCTCAGCCTACTATAACCAATCAAACACTGCCTATTTGTTCACGTGACAAATTTGGTGCCTAGAATACTAATGGCATTCAATAGGGTACAGGGAAGTAAGGTTAAATCAGGGTTAGCACGCGCACGCCAGGATACCTATAATTTACTTTGAGATAACAAATTTAGCTGAGGTTGGAACCAGTACAGTCAATTCAAAATCATTAATCATTTCTGCGCGCACAATTGGTTCTCCGTTCTACTCATGTGTAAATTTGAAAACAAATAAACCGATGTTGAAAATCATCAGCCAGGTATCGACGATCCAAAAATTTCAAAGATCCTTTCTGAGGCCTACTCAGGAGCTGATTTTGGTGTTTGGTATCGTGCTTAGACCAGTTACAAACTGTTTAGATGTTCACGTGACATATTTGGTGTTCAGAATTAAGAATATCTATAGTCGCTATAGTTACCCAGGTCATCAGAATGTATGTGCTCACTTTCAAGAAAATGAGTATTCCAGGCCCTACAAACAGAATTACTGCTATCAAAATCGCTCTCCTGTAACGGGAATTATCACTGCTTCGCTAGCTATAGCTGTCATACCATTGATACCTTCATTTGAGGAATATTTTGTACAAGGAATGTACTATGATTCCATCTACAAAGTATTCATAGGCTTCCCCAAGAAAGAGAAACATGTTAATGTTCTTCAAGCTCACTATAATACCACAAACATCGCTATGGCTCTATGGATTTTACATGGAAGTCAACTAGACGTCCAGTTCATTTTTATGGAAACAACGGAGTCTGCTTATTCAAGTACTTTGTTCGGAGTGACGATGCAAGAAGAATCATAAAATCGATTGAAAGTAGAGCGGACATAACTGATCATAAAGGAGATCCAGTAGTTTGGCTAATGCTTGGTGTGAACTTAGTCTGCTTCATCATCATCACTTGTTGCTACTTGGTTATCAATATGTGTGTTTTTGTTACGCGTTGATTATTGAGCTCTCTTATCTCATCTCTTATCGCTACAATTTAACGACGACTCAGCTGCTAGTTTGTGTCTGGTGCTGTACAATTCTGGATACATTATGGGAAATGTGGACTTTGACTCTACAATGTGGTCATGTAAATATTTGACCAGGTTTGGTGAAGCTGCTAATGATCTTGGTGTTTGGACTGAGGAAGTGATGAAGACAATAAACTGTGATGAAGATAGTCATTTTACATTAGACAAGTTCAAGAAACCAAACAAGGACGTTTTAGTAAAGCACCTTTTTGATGCATTTCAGAATATTTTTATATACAAGGAAGCTTTTCTAACAGCGACAACAAAACTAGAGGAAATGAAAAGTGACATGATTAATGCTCAGAAATCAGTTATTCAGTTGCAAGGGGAACTCTTGGACATTAAGACTAAGGATCTAGAATCAGTCCAGAGAACTGTCCAAACTGCTGTAGAAAATACTGTTCAAGCTGAGATTAAGTCTTACAGTGCTGCTGTGTCAAAACACTCCCCCAGCTCTGCATCCACTTTCACAGCAGAGAACTTGAAGAAAGTAGTTCAGAATGTGGTAGCTGAAGAGGATCGCAGCAGAAATGTGTTGATTTTTGGTCTAAAGGAGGAAGCAGGAGAGAAACTTGGGGATAAAATTTGCGATGTGTTTGAACAAATGGCAGAGAAGCCACGCTTTGAAAGAAGCTGCTCGAATTGGGAATAAAGCTGCTGAAAAACATAGAGCTGTCAAAGTATCATTTGGAAGCTCTAGCACCGTTCATCAGATACTGATTAAAGCTAAAGAACTCAGACTTTCTCAGTGTTTCAAAACTGTCTTTATTTCACCGGATCGGTCGCCGGAGGAGCGTGAAGTACATAGACAGTTGGTTCTAGATTTGAAGAGGAAGGTCACGGAAAATCCTAATAAACGTTATTTTATCAGGACTGGTAAAATTTGTGAGAAAGATGAGTGAGATATAATAGTTTATTTCTTATCTAATAAAATAGATATTACATATTTTTTGGCCATTTTTACATGAACTCTTACACTTACTGGGAATATACATGCATTCTGGAGTTTAAATTATCACTTTTGTCACCACGCCAGCCGCTTTGAAGTCGGCAATTTTTATTTTTAATAATATTGGTTGTTGATATAAGCGGGATATAAATACTCTATTTCATTTCATTTCATTTCAATATCCAAACCAGGATTTCTTCACGGAGATCAGGACAGCACCATAACCCAGAAAGAGTGAGTGACAATAGGGCTCTACAGAACAAAATTTCTCTTATTGTTGCGACTGATTTCTTATGTTAGGTACCATTTATTATTTTATTATTATTGTTATCAGCGGTATGCATAATCTTGGCGTTTTCGATACATGACTAAATAGTAAATGGTATGTTACGTATGCGATGATAGTTCTTCCACTTAACTCTGTTATCAACCCATTGATTTACGAAAAGACATTAATAAAGTTCCTATGCAGAAAGTTATGGGAAGTAAAAAGACTCATCAAGCTCAGTACCTCCACATTTATGTCTTCGATCGCAAGATTCTTTCAGACAAGGAGTGAAGACATACAGAGTGGCACTGACATCGAGCTAGATGTCATGCAAATGGAACTGCTAGGAGTACAAGAGGATCGGGAAATTCAAAATCAAGTATTAGCAGAGACAGAAAATTTGTGAACTAAAGAAACCATTGATGAACAAATTATAATATTCTTTAAAAACTACCATCACTTAATTCAGCACAGAAGTGCAGTTTTAAACTGTGTTTATATGATTTACTTTGTACTATTACTTAATTGAAGTGAGTGCTGGAAAAGCTTATCGTTGCTACTGAGAAATCCTGAGAAATCCTATAGTTATCTAACTTTTCATTATTAATTATGATCGTGTATAAATATTGTATTTATTTTAAGCTAAAATATGTTGATCTAAAAGTCTGTATACAAATTTCATGAAGTCTAGGATATAGGATTTAGTCGTGACGAATAAATTTCAATCTGAATTTTTAAATTCCTAAATAAAAAGAACATAATAAAAAAATTGTCACAGTTATTAACTGAGATATCTCCTTAAGTTTTACACTTTTCGAAATGAATTTTTTTGAAATGGCTCTTTAGTTTAGTATTGCCACTTGCCAGTCACTCGGATACGGAAACTTCATGTAGCTGTATTATCAAAAAGTTAAAACTAAGTCGTGTTACTTACCCTAAAATTATTGAAAGACAGATTGAGGTCCACCAAAGTCAAAGACATCGGCGTTATGTCAGGAACTAAGGTAATGAAATGGGCCTGTAGATGATTTATCAGTTTTTATAGGAATTTGAAAATCACAAAGCGAGAAATACCTATTAACTCATTGTTCAGAACTTCACAAAATTAAAAAGTCGACACTTGATGACTTGAAATGTTAAAAAGTCCCACCCTAAGGCTGAGTTTCCTGCCACCATCTTTGAGAGCATTGAAAACAGCAGTTCTAGAAACAGTCATACAGCTCTCATCAGGGACACAGAAGGGGGAACCAGACCTAGCTTCCCCTTGGAAGAATCTTGACAATCCCCCAGTAAAGAGAGCGTTTGTGTTGGGATAGGGGTGCTCTATCATCAGGTTAGGAGGTGTGTCCATTCTGGAGAATATTTCATTTGTGATATTTGAGCTGTGTTTAACAGCTAAACTGAACAGAATAAAGGCCCCCTCTGACAACTAGTTTCAGGAAATACACATAGTAATCAATGAACAGACATTATTAACTTTTTAAGTGACTTACAAGCAGAGAGTTTGATCACTGCCACTCTCATCAGCAGACTGCATCGCCTGCCTAATCATAGCCCGCATTTCTATCAGCTTTTGTTGCTTTGGAATCCTTTGTGGCTCTGCTTCTGGTATCTCTACCTCTAATAAATGGTGGGTTTATCTAGCTTATCGTATTAGAACTGTTCGATAAAAGTGAAAAGATTCTAAAGCCACACAAAAAATTTGTAATGTTTCATGAATTTCAAGACATTAGAGTTTCAAGACATTAGAGTTTCAAGACATTAGAGTTTCAAGACATTAGAGTTTCAAGACATTAGAATTTCAAAACATTAAAGTTTCAAAACATTAGACTTAAATTTAGGAAAACTGAAAACTCACAGATAACAAAGAGACCCAGGGACATTTTATAATTGACAAAATCAGCCTATTACTCAAATAACTTGAATAACAATAAAAACAAGAACTAACCCTCCAGTACATCTTGTACATGTAATACTGGTGGAGATTTCGGAGGTAGTTTATGGTGAGTCACACCGTTTGGGGTGGCGTGGAACGTCTCGAAATTCTCACGGCTCTTCAGTGGTGCACGCAGATTAGTTCCTATTGTTTGGGACCTGGGAGTGTAATCCGACATTATTTGTTGAAATTATCTGAGGTGGGTTTGACACTGTGGACAGGATTAGAATAAAATATAAGTCGCTGTAAGTCGCTAAACATCGAGTGAAACTAAAACACCAGTTCTTAAGTCCAGATGTCACTTACACAAGAGCCTCGCTGACAAAGTCGTTTAGGGTAAAGAGAGGAGGTGGTTTGGGGGCCACAGTAGCTAGATCCAGTAAGTTTACCATGGGAGGTTCCTCGTATATTGGAGGTCTAGTTGCTTTTACTTCATGGGTCACTTCCAGTTCAGGGGAGTTGGTCGGACCGTGGAGGGACGATAATTCTAGTCCTGAGGAGTGATATCACGTGACAGTGATTAATCAGTCAGCATATTATAGTGGTAATGATAATTGGTGGTAAATTATTTGTATGAGTCATCATTTTGAAGAAAGGCTAGAATATGATCCAAACAATGAACAAGGTATGAATCTGACAAAGTAGAAATGAAATATGATGTATAATGTACAATGTACAATAAGTATACTTCTCAAAGCATTGCCTGAAATAAGTATGAACTTAGGAATATTAAACGAACCAGCTATCTGAGGTAAAGGAGTGTAAGCATGGGTTAGTTTACCAAAACTATCGACCCCCTTCTTAGCAACTCTCTTCGTCTCTGCATTTAGACCTGAAAAACAGACACCTCAGAACCGCTACAAAGTTTAACAAAAAGTCCATGCTCAGATCTTTAGATGGATAGCTGGATAGGATTTAGAGCTACTGTTGCCGGCCATTATTAAAAGCGTCCTAATAGAGCAAGCTCTGTGTATGAGAACAGTAAACACATAACACCCTGCTCACCAGTGAATGTTATCTCCTGCTCCGGTTTTTGGGGCTGAGGCTTTGGCTTACGTAACAGGAGGACTTCCATCGCATACTATACCTTCATGAACACAATTAATTAGTATACTTATAAACAAAATCAATAGACGGCGAAGAGAAGTTGAAAGTAATTTGTAACGTGGAGATGTTAAGGGTGGGGGGGGGGGGACTGTGAATATTTGATTTTGTCCAGTAATACAATCTTTGATTAATATGTAAAGTGATGATCTCATATTATTGCTTGACACCTCATATATTTCACAGCATCTTATTTTGCCAGCCAACCGGGTAAAGAATGACATCATTCTGTAAGCTCTCGTATTCAATTAGTGATGATGCAATAACATTATAACATGGACACAGAGAGAGTAGAGAGCACCGCACGTGATCGGACCTGTAGTCAGGTGACACCACCAGGGTGCTCGTTATTCACGTGACCGCGTATCACTGACCAATACTATCGCTCTTTATAATCTCGTGACACTGCAGCATTGAATAATGGGGTAACAGCCTTATATGTCTGTCAGTCGTTCTGCCAGCCAAACCGTATTATGAGTAAAGAAGACGTGTAACTCCTGGACCCTGGTATTATAAACGAGTTTAGCCAGCATTCGTTGTGATTGTTCAGTGTGTCCCTTACCTGCGATTCAGGTAAACTTTGTTTTGAAATGCGTCCAGGTGGAAGAGGTAGAGGGGTAAATGGAGGGCTAAATGGAGGGGTAAACGGAGGTGCAGTTCAAACACCTGCAGCTGGCAGAGGAAGAGGTAGATGTTTAATTTAATATTTATAAAGTTTGTTTAGTTTCCATTCCGTTAGGGATCGTTCACGTTTGCTTACGCTAGTTTAATTTCAACAAAATAGCCGGGGGGCGTTTTAAATTACCAAAAAAAAGAGCGGCTTACGTAATATGTGAACGGCTCCTTATTACTGCATTGTGCAATTTAATGTTCCATTTGATAAACTTTTAAACTAGATATTTTACATATATATATGATGTATGATCTTGTTAGTACATGGGTCGATCTGCATACATTTGGACTAATTACTAGATAGTAGATACTAGTATAAAGCGTTCACATAAGTGCATATTATATGACGTATATACTTATATAGTAATTCCATGTGCAAGCTGTGCATGTAAGTATGAAGTATAAAATTCTTATGCTACTGCTGTAAGTGCGTTTCTAGTGCTAGTCAATATATTATAGGACACTACAACTCAGTGTACCTAATGATTCTATCAATACCTCGAATTTCCACCAGGACGAGGGAGAGGGTCGCGAGTAATTACTCCACCAGATCAAGAACAAACAATTCCTGCAATCGGTCAGTTATCAGTTGGAGGGGTCAGAGAGAGGGGCGCCAGAGCTAACTACAGGGTAAGATGCACCTCATCAAACTTACAAAATTTTATTATTTATTTGTCATGGAAGCGTTAAGAAATTTAACTAGGAGGTTTTGAAAAACATAATCGGACAATTTTACCATCGAGATTTTCAAAGTGTTCCCGATATGGTTATAAATATAATGCACCAGATTTATTTCACACAAGATTCCACCAACTTTTCTAAATACCAGCAGGATGAACCAGGTCCATCTCAACTAGCAGCAGTGAAGTGTGGACCACCCCCTGGTAAACCAGTCACTCTTCTAACTAACTATCTTAAGTTGGTCAAGTCGAATAATCTCCCTATCTTCCAGTACCATGTGGAGATATCCCCCGAGGTTAGTTTCATGTTAAGTTGTACTTGAGTTGTTATTTTGGGGGGGGGGGTGTAACCCAAAAAAACCCAATCCCAGTATGACCTTTTTCAGGGTAGGAGTTGGGTTTTTTTGGGTTTTTTTGGGTTTTTTACAAATTTTTCATTTGAAGGAAATAAAATCATGTAGGCACCTAGCAAAACAATTATCAGTACAACATCACTGTTGTTGTTCATCACTACAACATCACAATAGATATAATCGCTTAAATATCACCCAAAAGCAGTATTTTATTCACTGATGTGCTCAGAAGAAGTTGGCCATCCAGATATGATATCAGCCATATGTAATGCTCACTTCGATGGCCATGGCAAATTGAGTTAGTAGGGACGCAACTCACTGATGACCCCAACCCTGACCGCAACCGGTACGAGAGGAATAAAGCCTTTCTTCTCACCTTCACGATCTCTGTTTCCGTTTTCCTGATCATCCGCTTAACGAGAAACCATGCTCTATCTCCAACTGAAAGAATCTTGCAGTTACCATCAGCTGCGTGATCACATGTGATATTAAGTGATATCTTCGCTTGTTTATGGCCCTGGAGTCGCTAAAATCTTGACTGGGATGGCATTCGATCTCGCCCTCCATTAAGGCAAACCTCAACAGCCGTATCATGATGCAGAGCATCACCATACACAGTTACTATTTTCGCCCATTCCTCTGATGAGTCAATATCCTCCACTTCCTCTTCTTCATCATCTGTTTCCGCTTCGTCACTCTCTGCTCCGTCAGAAGATGGTTGGAAAGCCTCTCCTTCAAAGTTACAGTGTTCTTATCGCATCATCAAAATTTTTACAAGTAGGCAGGTGGTCTTTCAAAGTTTCAATGGTTGTGTGAAGCTTAGGTGGCCCAAGGCGTCACCGCTGGATATAAGCTGGGTGGAAGCCCTGGTCTGATGTGAGGCTCCCAGAACTTTGAAAAGGGGTATTCTGCTGGTGCCCTCTTCCAGACACTCATCGGACAGCATGATGAAAGCCACTACCTCCACGTGGTGAAGACTGGATACTGAACAGGGGGTCCAGGCTAAAGGCAGGACGGTCGACGGGAGACATTGAGCCCCGGAAGTTCAATAATTTGATCTATTGACTCCTTAACTCTTGGTCTACAAGAGGCTTTGAGACTCGTAAATCTTTACTGTGGATTGCACAGTAGCTAAAGAGGTGTTGGCTGTTACCCTGTTCAACCTAGTCTACTATGACCCAGCTAGACTGGACCACACTCTGGTAGTCAGGATACGGCTCCCTATGCCCGGGGTACCGGGTAACGAGGTAGTCAGGGGAAGGGTTAGTCCCCGCTAAAGTGTAGCTCTGTTCTCACTCTAACCTCCTTATGCTTTGGGATAAAATCGGAAAGTCCCACACTGGAGCAGGTGACGATTGGGTAAGGATTACAACTGATGCTGTTTGGTAGAAAAAGGAAGTGTCACATTTGTCTTGTATAGCATATGTTCGTGCAATTACATGCTCAAGATACCCAAGATATTATGGTGAGAGTTAAAGATGGCTTTTGTTCAAGCGGATTGCCTTAACCTTTTACTCTTTTAGTGGCGCAAGAGTTAAGAACACAATCCACTGCCAATGTGCACTGTGCAGGGGACTGCACAGGATTGTGAGCCAACTGAAAAGTCAAGATGAATCTTATCAACAGCTATCAATAAGGTTAAAGCCCCTTATTTTTCTAGTGGAAGTGGTTGCCGGGGTAATTACGCTGCTATTACAGAAGCTGATAACTCGGTCTCCACAACACGACAACCTATTTCTACAGAAAGTCAAACAAGAAAACATCAAAAAAATATGAACATCAATTGTATTGTATCATGTAAAAGGACTGCTAAGGTTAGCACATTTAACATAAGAACAGCCAGAGAACAGCACAAACGCATCGAACTTGCAGAACTATTTTCTCGAATCAAACTGCACATCCTTGGCCTGCAAGAACATCATGTAGAGCATTCTGAGCCTACCAGGATAGAAAAGATGAACAAAGGGATTCATCTAGTGACCTCATCTGCGTGGAAAAACGCAGCTGGCGCTTCTAATGGGAAAGTAGGAATCATCTTGACGAGGACAGCATATGAGGCTATTTAAGTCTTATAAAATCTTACAGCGCAAGGATCCTCACCATGTCTTTCAATGGAAAGCGCAGGCTCACTGTCATCACATGCTACAGTCCTACAGAAGCCTCATCTGATGAGGAGGCAGAAAATCTCTTTTGTCTAAAACCAAGCATCTTACTGTTAATTTAGTAGAAGAGGAGCCACACACAATAACTTCTGAGGACGGACATGCCTTAGAGGAAGTTGAGGATTTTTTCTACCCAGGAGCCTGGATAAGTACAACAGAGCACGACTTAAGGGTACCCAAGGCCAAGGCATGGGCTGCCTACCACAAAATGAAGGCTATATGGAGGTCCAATTTGCGCCGAGATTTAAAGATCCGTCTGTTTCAAGGCTACAGTTGAATCAATCTTCCTGTATGGAACGGAAACGTGGACAATGACAGAATCTTTGAAAATAATAGACAGATGTTACAGTAAAATGCTTTGGATGGCCCTAAACGTGGACTGGAGAGAACATCGCACCAACAAAGAGGTCTTTAAATCACTCCCAAGAGTTAGTTCGAAGATACAGGCCAGAAGAATGAGGTCGGCTGGGCACATCCAGAGATCCAGCGATATGATGACCTGGCAGTACACCAACTTCTCCTTCGGGAACCTAGCCATGGGACCAGAGGGAGGGGCAGACCACCGCTCACTTTCGTCGATAACCTAATAAGTGACACCGTACTCAAGAACACTGGGAGATTAAGGAGCTTATGGCGGACAGAAAGCTTTGGAGACACATCATTGAGACTCGGACTCTGAAGCCGCCTTAAGTCAAGTAATTTAAGTCATGTGCTTTGACTTGCCCTTGACCTTCGTCATAGCCTCCTTCCATGACAGGAGAACACATTTGCCACATTTGGCACATTTCCACTTTGTGCATTCATATGGATTATATCTCGATGATCGAGACATCCTGTTTGCTATCGTGATAACATACTATCAATATAAACACACTCATATACTATGTAAACTATCTATTAAGTTAAGACATGAGAACAACACGTAGGTAAGACTCAGTGGGAAATAATTCACATTCAATACAATTAATGAAATGGCTAGAATTTTGTTTAAATTTTGTTTAAAAAACCCAAAAAACCCAAAAAAACCCAATCCCAGTATTACCTTTTCTTGGGTAGGAGTTGGGTTTTTTTGGGTTACACCCCCCCCCCCTATTTTAAAGACTTGTGGTGATATGATGATAGGCACTACGGAGTTAGAACTTTAGAAGGGTGTTTGCATTAAAGGTTATATAGAAAATTGATATTATGTGTGTGATGATCTGAGATTAATCCAACGAAGCGGGCACTGGACAGATGTTTGAGATGTTAACGAAAAATACTTTTCAGCATATTAATTAGCGTTGTCAAATTTGTTTATCTAATTGTATTAAGGATTAATTATTAAGAACTTTATAGCTAAAAGAAGAACTAATTGCCAGATTGTGAATGAAAGAAGAAAAACAGGAATGATGTACAATGGAATAGAAGAACTAAAATATAAAATTATATTTAAAGGTTAGATACGAACTTAATTAAACGTGCCACCAAGATTCTATTGATTTCCACGAAAACCTTGCACGATAATATTTAAGGAAAATTGTGGGAAAACATTAAACCATTTTTAACTCTCTTTCTATTAAAACATTCAGATCAAATTTTGTACACTTTCTTGGATACAATTGGAGCTGAGAAAGAATATCATGTCACAAGTTCTACTAAAGATGGGGAGATAATACACAGAGTAACTGTAAAGAGAACAGGAGAAGTCATAAAAGACAGCCCGCACTTTGCTAACGTATTCTTTAATCAGTAAGTGTGGTCAATCAGTGAAGTCGATCGACGATCAGTAAGGTTCTGAAGAATTCGGATGATGACATAGAACAGATTGTGTAATGTAATTTGTGATGTGTATGTGATGTGTAATGTAATTTGAATGACTTGGTAGTACAGTTCATAATGGACTCTAAGTTTTGAAACGAGGAATTGAAATGCCCAGAAAATCATTATCATCATGCCTTTAAAGTAAAATATTTCGCTTGAGATTTGCTAAAATTATGAAATAAGTACATGATTTCTAAACCATAATTTCAGTATTCATATTTTAGATCTGTTGCGATAGAATAACGAAAACTCTTCAGTGTGGCAAATAACATATCCGACTGGCAGAGAATTCGAAGAGATTACTTTGACCCAAAGAACGTGACAAAACTTCCTCAATATCACGTGGAGATCCTGCCTGGCTATCAGTTTAGAGCTGGAACCTTCGCTTCGGGTCCCCTCATGAGTATCGATAATAAACACAAAGTCATGCGGACTAACACAGCTCTGCAGTTTATCCAGGAAATCGTTACAAAGGTATAATATATATCTTTAAAATATACAGCACATTTGCATAGCTATGTCTTTCTAATTTGTTAATGTTAAAATATTTTACATGTTAAGAGAATTTTCGAACTCGATATAATAATATATAATATATATTTTTTGAAACTATGATGCAGTACTACAGTATGACTGAATGTTTTCATAAAAATCGAATAAGCGGGATACATAAGTTTCTTATAAATATATATATATATATTTATAAGAAACTATAGTATAAATAAACTATAGTATATATTATAAGAAACTATAGTATATATACTCAAATACCCGGCCGAATCCATAGTATATATACTATAGATTCGGCCGGGTATTTGAGTGAAAATTGCCGGCAAGAGCCGGGATTAGACAGATATACCCTGGCGATATTCCTGCCGCTTACGTGCCGTGTCTATAATTTATAAACACTATAACCATTGGTATTGTCAGAAAGGTGGTCAGCTACAAACAGCTCAAACTGATATAATCCGAGAGTTGACAGGAAGAGTCGTTATTACAAGGTAATCTCGATAATTCCAATTTTTGTTAAAGAAATTTTGTTGTACTACAACGTGAACAACACCTCAAGATTTCAACAACCTTGGTAAATGAATAAATTCTCATCTCTTACTCCAACACTTTTCCAAGGTACAACAACAGCACATACAAGATTGATGACGTATTGTTTGACATGAAAGCATCTCATGAGATTGAATTGCGACCTGGGTACAAAATATCCTTCATAGATTACTACAAAAATAAGTTCAATCTCACAATCCATGATGCAGACCAGCCGATTCTTTTGAGTCGAAAGGTAATTGTCTTACCTAAGCGTTTCATTTTAATGTTCTACAACTTTTTGACAATTATTATCATAATGATCAATTCACGATTATCAAATTATTATGTCAGAATCTATGATTAGTTCCCAGACGCCAGGGCATCCAACGACTTTCACGTTGTAACTATGTCCTCTCAATTATAAGATTATGGTACCCAGTGGCGTAACGTTGCCTGTTGGCGCCCCCCTGCCAAAAAAAGCGCCCCCCTGTTGGCGCCCCCTCCCCTTTTGGTGCCCCTCCCTAAAATTGATCAAATTAGGTGATTTTAAAGAATATGCCGGTAAAATCTCTAAAAAAAGTGTGTATCTAGAGCAAAAAGCGCAGTTTTGCTAGTACTTTAGTTAAGTTTTCGAAATTGTCCCACATTCAAACGACGATTTGGCGCCCCCCTAAGACGGCGCCCCCCTGCACAGCGGGGTCAGCAGGGCCTTTCGTTACGCCACTGATGGTACCTCCATAAAGCCATTGTTTCAGAAACAACGTGATACCAATGGTAATGATAAAGAAATACAGATTCATCTAGTTCCAGAAGTATGCTATCTCACTGGACTGTCCGAACAAGAATCTACCAACACAAGAACCCCTTTATTTAAGGCACTGTCAAATGTAACACGCACCAATCCGACTGATAAAGTTGCGGTTCTCCAGACCTTTGCTGATACCATAAACCAAGAACCGATAACCGAGAGGTACATCATTACGTTATAACTTAACATTATACATGATCCGGAACAACACTTTAAATTATTATAATAATAATATACGTTCAAATATGCGTTTAAAAAACAGAATAACATCTAGATCACACTGAAAACAGGTTAATTTGATACACAAAGTATTATTTTAGGTGGGGCTTGAATGTGGAAACTTCCTTACTGCAACTTCAAGGAGGAAACATTGGAGCAGAACAAGTTATCAATGAGAAATTCAAAATAGACAGGGGAAGCTTTGATAGAATGACAAGGAGTAGATTTGTCATATCTTCTGCAGGAATCAAGGATAATTGCCATATCATCTGCAACAGTAGGGACATGCCGGTAAAACTAAACTCAATTTTCAACAGAATTTAAAATTGACTTCTCATTGACCGAAACTATACCAGCAACAATTAACAATTTTGTTCAAATTTCAGTTGGCACTGTCTATGGTAGAGCAGAAATTTGCTCAAGCAGCTGGCATGGATATAATTTTCAGAAGAGAGAACATTATTCAAGTTAACAGTGACAGGTATTTATTATTTAACTTTCATCATTTTCTATTTGATTACTGAGTGTACATGCAGAGTGCAAACCTGTAATGTAATCCCAAATCCCCATAATATAGATCTGTACTATATTATTCAATGCAAAATAACTTGAATTCATGACAAATTTACTTAAGTATTGATGGACGGGAGAAGTGAGCCATATTTTTTCTGGCATTTTTTCTGACAGCCATTGACCAACGCTTCCAGCAGCGAAAAAATTCTTAATCTATAATCTCTACAGCTAGTAACTAAGCCTGTAGAGTACAATTTATAATGTTGATTTAGACTTGATGAGTAACTTGTTTAAGGGGGCCGGGGGCCGTGGGCGTATATGAAATTTCTCTCGAAATTGTTTTTATAGTTGTTTCTGATAAAGGGGAGTGATATCTATCAGCTTCTTTTGGTCCCACGGAAAAATATGTGTGTATGCTCATGTGTAATTAATTGTATTGTACGATCAAGATTCTAAAACTCTTCTCGTAAATTTTTTGAGCAATCACCCTGAAACTTTCAGGATATGTTCTAGGGATCATTTAGAGGATTATGTAACATAAGCGCTGACCTTTGACCGGTGATAACTTCGGCTAGGAACAATATTTTTCCATAGGACTAAGATCAGCTAATAGATATCACTCCCCTCTATCAGAAACAACTATAAAATCAATTTCGAAAGATATTTCATAAAGACCCCCTTAATTTCTTTGGCACAGTTGAAAAAGAAATCAAGTTGAAACAAATACCCTCGGGGCTCGGTCTCACCCCTCATTAAGCAAGCTAGTAGCAAACTAGTAGCAAACTAGTAGCAAACTAGTAGCAAACTACCATGATGGTATTATCACCATAGTGGTATTAACTACTCCATTAAACTGAAATTTACAGGGCAGAAGCATTCATGGAGGCAGGGAACTCAGTGGATACGAAAGCTCTGCTTTTTATTTTGCCAAACGAGAAAGCTGACAGATACAATGCCATCAAAAAACGTTTTTGTGTTGAACAGCCGAGAATCACACAGGTATAATTTCTTAAGGGCATTTTGTTGTTTATGACATATTGTGCCAGTTAAGGCAGAGATTAAATAATAAATCAATTTATACATTTATTTAGTTAAAAAATTTCCTCTTTCCTCTTTAAATAGAGTCAATCAATGTTCTTAAGTTTCTCTTTAATTTTTCAGAAAATTGATACCATCCTATGCACACTGAATACTGATTTTATCTTCCATTCTTCCAGGTCGTTTTAGCAAAAACCTTACGGAACAGCAATGGATTAGCGTCAAAGATTACAAAGATCCTAATGCAGATTGATGCGAAAGCTGGTGGCCATCTTTGGAAAATAAATCTTCCAGTAAAGAATGTTATGTTCGTGGGCATAGACACATACCATGATTCCCTATCTAGGCGACGTTCAGTTGGCGGATTTGTTGCCAGTATGAACGATATCCAGACACGGTAAGGCTTAGAACATGCAACTTATTTTAGAATCTTCTCCTTCTATTATGATGATTTTCTGTTTATCAAAGCTTTCTTCGGTAATCTCAGTACCTCAAGAAAAAATCAATCAAAACACTGAAATTTGGGTAAGCTGATATCTGAAAATGTCCTACCGGTAGGACATTTTCATGATTTTCCTTTCGTCAATGCTTTCTCTCGATTGTGACTTCAGTCACTTATACTGGCCTCGCTGATTGATCACAGGTCAAATATTTAGCAAAAATTGTAAAATTTTGGTCAAGGAAACAGCAGAAAAGCTTTTATAATTTAACAAATGGTGAAGATGGCACCAACACTTTTCAATCACTTACCTAATGTCATGATTTATGTATGTATAAAACTCAAAAATGTGCAAACTGTTCTAGTTTGCACATAGGCTGTGATAATATTTACAGTTACTACTCAAGAGCATTTTGGCATGACAATGCTGGCGAAGAAGTCTTCTCAGGCTTACAGCCTATCATGAAGGACACCCTCCTTGAGTATTATCAGTTGAATCAACAATTTCCAGCAAGAATTATCATATTTAGGTACATTTCTTTTTAAAAAATCAAACTTTTATCCTCAACATGGTCATGAAGATTTAATTGAAAATTAGTAGCCTTAAAATCAGCCATTTGTTCAGCAAGCATGTATTCAAGCATGTATTTAAATTGCAGGGATGGAGTTGGTTATGGTCAGATGCAAGCTGTGCGGGAATTGGAGATAGAGTCTATAAAGAGGGCTATGTTGGAGTTACAGCTGCAAAAGTAAGTGCTACAATAATAACTTAAATAAGTAAATATGATAAGTAATAACTTGTATTTAACAGTTACAATCCAATGAAATTTTCTACCAAAGATGCATGAACAAAATCACCAATCAAACAGAATTTTCAATCAAACAAAAGTTTTAATCAAATCGAAATTTCAATTGTATACCATTTATAACAGTAAAAACTTGAGTATAAACGATTCAATTTGATATTTGAAGGAAGCCTATAGCTTAGTGTGGGTCTCACTATCTGTGCACTGGGCTACAAACAAACATGTTGTATATCAACACTGGTCTAGATACAGCAGTCTTTGGATTGTAATAATTTTATTAAAGGGAGTAGAATTAGCGGTTTGGAGCATTAATAGGGAGACAGCCTACTATAAATCCAGAGTTGTATTGATTAAATAAGTTATAAATTAACGGTAAATTTGAGGACCTAATTTGTTAACTTTTTTTTGCTTTAAAGAATACCTAAATAAATTGTATTCTAGAGTACAGTAAAACCCCGATTTACTGCGGGGTTTGAAGGAAAGGAATAGCCAGGGCAAACCGGCCTGGGTTTGTGGTAAATCAGGGTTTTGTTTGTTCACTTAATGTATGATTTTCTGTTTATCAAAGCTTTCTTCGGTAATCTCAGTACCTCAAGAAAAAATCAATCAAAACACTGAAATTTGGGTATCTAGGATATCTGAAAATGTCCTACCGGTAGGACATTTTCATGATTTTCCTTTCGTCAATGCTTTCTCTCGATTGTGACTTCAGTCACTTATACTGGCCTCACTGATTGATCACAGGTCAAATATTTAGCAAAAATTGTGAAATTTTGGTCAAGGAAACAGCAGAAAAGCTTCTATAATGTAACAAATGGTGAAGATGGCACCAACACTTTTCAATCACTTACCTAATGTCATGATTTATGTATGTATAAAACTCAAAAATGTGCAAACTGTTCTAGTTTGCACATAGGCTGTGATAATATTTACAGTTACTACTCAAGAGCATTTTGGCATGACAATGCTGGCGAAGAAGTCTTCTCAGGCTTACAGCCTATCATGAAGGACACCCTTCTCTCACTATCTGTGCACTAGGCTACAAACAAACATGTTGTATATCAACACTGGTCTAGATACAGCAGTCTTTGGATTGTAATAATTTTATTAAAGGGAGCATTAATAGGGAGACAGCCTACTATAAATCCAGAGTTGTATTGATTAAATAAGTTATAAATTAATTAAATGTGAGACTAATTTGTTAACTTTTTTGCTCAAAGAGTGGCGTAACGTTGCCTGTTGGCGCCCCCTGCCGAAAAAAGCGCCCCCCTGTTGCGCCCCTCCCCTTTGGTTGCCCCTCCTAAAAATGAACAAATTAGGTGATTTTAGAGAATACAGCGGTACCAAATCTCTAAAAAGAGTGTATCTGAGCAAAAACGCGCAGTTTGCTAGTACTTTAGTTAAGGAGTTTTCGAAAATTGTCCCAACATTCAAACGACGATTTGGCGCGCCCCTAAGACGGCCGCCCCTGCACAGCGGGGTAAGAAGGGCCTTTCGTTTTTACGCCACTGCCTTCAAGAAATACCTAAATAAATTTTATTCTAGAGTACAGTAAAAACCCCGATTTAATCGGGGTTTGAGGAATGGAATAGCCAGGGGCAAACGGCCGGGTTTGTCGGTTAAATCAGGGTTTTGTTGTTCACTTAAATGTATGATATTAAGCCCTATGTGAGGGAAAGGGTATGGCAGCAGTAAATCGGTGTTTGCGGTAGATCAGGGTTTTACTGTATGAGTATTTAATCATTCTTTCCTCAGGACTGAATTTGTTTTCACAGTAGTAGCAAAGCGCATAAACACTCGCTTCTTTGAAAAGTTTGGAACAAACTACAAGAACCCTTTCCATGGCACAATTGTAAGCAATGGTATAACAAAAAACGATCAAGCGTTTGACTTCTATTTGGTCTCTCAATCTGTTAGCCAAGGAACTGTGAGCCCAACACATTATACAGTCTTGGAATGGAATACAACTCTTAAACCTGAGCATTTACAGCAGATTGCATTTAAACTCTGCCATATGTATTTCAATTGGACTGTAAGTAGAAACAAACTACAAAGGTACTTTCATCTTAATCAAAAACAGACAAATTAATCCACCATTATATGTAATGAGAGTAAATCTTACATTATAATTAAAAATTAAAATTTCTTACAACTTCTTTCAGGGATCCCTATATCTCCCTGCCTTCACCTGCACCTTGCTCCAGTTTGATCACACGTTGCACTTTTTGGTTATGGAAATCTTTACATGCAGACCCATCACCAGCATTGCGTCACCATTTGTTTTATTTGTAAGACTGGTTGACAGTGTTTATTCTTCACAGAGAATTGAACAATTTGGGATCCGGACTCTACAGCGTAAGACTCTACAGCGTGAGACTCTACGGCGGATAGATGACTATAACAACAATAAAACTTGAACGAAATTGAGTCTTCTTGAATATAAATTCACTAACATGCATATTTCAATTTGATTCTCAGCTTAACCAATGCTGCACTGTGAATGGCAATTGCTACTTGAAATGTGAGGTCTTTCTATATAAATTGAAGATTTTTATCATTTTATTTATCTATATTTTTAAAAGTTGATATATCATTTATATTTACTTTCATAATTATGATGACAAAAATTTTCAACTATTTTAAAATGTTTGGCATATCATTTTTACCTTAATGTAGTTAACACAAAAAAAATATTTCTAATTTCCTTAAACTAATAGTAAAACAAATTTTTTAAGTAAAACAAATTATTATATTTTATAACCACAATCAATTCATATTTAGTTCAAATATTTAAAGTCAAAATAACCATTTCACATAAGTGGTTTTATTATAATAAAATAATTTGTTATAAATTAATAAATTAATTTACACTAAAAATGTACAGAATGTACACAATTTTTATCTAGTGCAACACTGGTTCGGCGCGCGGCTGATCGAAAAAGTTTGGTTTGCATTTACTACTTACTAACTACAGTGTACAGCGTACATGAAAAGATAACTTACCGAATCTTTTAATACTAAATACATATTAATTTAGATGTTGTTCAATGAGTTAGCCACAAAAATGTTCAAATTATGTAGGAGGGTAAAAGACACAATTGCTAGTAATGCTTCTTTGTGCCCGTTGACTACAATGAACATTTTGAGGAGTTTCTCCAAACAGCTTTTCATCGGAGTGCATGTTATTTACTAGGTTATGCACAAGCCAGGCCAACATTTTGTTTTTGTGTCAGCCGCGCTACTAGGTTGCAGAGTATGATTTAAACATTAAAAAATTATACACTATACAACACAGGGGGGTCTGAAACCAGGTTTTCGATCAAATGCTGCCATTTGAAGTCAGACGTCGCCAACAGTTGCTCTCGTCCAATGAAATCGCTGCATTTTGCAAGTTAGTATGCATAATTGAATTACATATATTCATATGCGGAGCTTGGCTTACATAATGCAGCGATTTCATTGGACGAGAGCAACTTTTGGCGACGTTTGACTACACATGGCAGCGTTTGATCGAAAACCTGGTTTCAGCTCCCCCTGTGACAAATTTGCTAATACATAATATCAGAGTCTTCACATAGCCATGTGTATACGCGTACTGCGTGACGCGCTTGTTTCACAAGTAGAATATGCTCTCTTTGCCGCCTTCGGCGGTCGCGCACTACTGCAAGCGAGAGAGCCCTGGTTAGAGCAAATCAGAGTCCAATCTAGCTGCAAACGTCAAACACCACTACACAGTTCAGCCGCCAAGTACCGTTTAAGTGAACACCGAGACACGAGGATTAGGTGTCACTTTGTAAATCACTTTATGGATGGATTATTCAGTAATTGTTGTAGAAAATTACAGTCACTGCCACCTCACAGCAGGGGAAAAGTGCAAATAAACTGCTGCTAACTGCTGCTCACTGCTACTCACTGCTGCTCACTGCTGCTCACTGCTGCTTATAGCGTTATGTCGTGGGTCTCAGGTCTGATTAACGGCCAAGAATAAACAATGACAGCCCTTGATTTACTTAAAAGCAACCAGTCATATATATATAATCATATTACTTACCTGGCACGCCAATTCCTGTGCGCGGCGCTCTTTTCAAGCTTCCTATACGTGATCTGTGAGAGTAGCGAGCAAAAGACTAGCAAGCTAGATAATCATATTACTGTCTTTGGATACTGTCCCTCCTTGATCCTTTTATTTTTTCCTGGTAATGACTGGTATTCACAATACACTTAATAGGTAAATGATTGATACATGTTTCGTATCCCTTCGGCGGCGCGCGCTTCGCGCGCGAAAAGTGGCATGCAACGTATGTCAAGTAAATAATATGAAATTTGATTCACGATGTCAATCCTTCGCATTTCGCCGATCTGCATTGTCATACGTTGTATGACCTGTGTATCGTCAGGACACCTAGTGAATTGTAGGTTTATAACCTACTGCAGGACGCGCGCCGAGTTGGACTCGTCGAATATATGGAACAGATATTTTACGAGTATCGCCCGTTAACTAGTGAAACGACCGTGGGTGTCACAACGTGATACAAGATCTGCATAAGTGGTTGCGAAAAGATGAGCGGCTTGGAGGACTTCGCCGCTTCGAAGCGCCGCGCAAACTAGCATTCTTGCTTCGCATCGTCCGTCGTCGATCGTTGCTTTGCTTCGCAGAGCAACTGGCAACGATCTCGACGGATTGACATCGTCAAATAAAATGCGCGGCTTGACGGATGTTACTCGTCTAAATTTCTTCGAAGTAGCGCGCGCCGCTTTATTCTCGAAATAGCGCGCGCCGGGCCAAATCATTAACAACGGTCAAATGCGCGGCCCAATAGTGCATCGCGCTACAAAAAGAAATTAAATATAATCTTTTTAACTGACGATGTCAATTCATCGCAGTTCGGCGAGGCCAATCACAAATTAGTAGCACATTTAATTTGCCGATCTAGCAAGGTGATTTGTGGTTGCGAGAAGCATAATTGAGTGCGCGGCCCAGTAACGCATTGCGCTTCACCTAACCATGTGCTTTCGCGCCACTGCGGGCGCAAGGGCTCTGGATAGAGCAACATTGCGCTACAAATAAAATATTTATAATTGATATTTCGCTTACATCAACTTGACCATTGTTAATGATTTGGCCCGGCGCGCGCTACTTTGTAACACTTGTCGTCGGGAGAAAGCGGCGCGCGCTACTTCGAAAAAATTTAGACGAGTAACATTCGTCAAATATTAACAACCAATATTATATTATGAATAAATCTAATTGCTGACTTCAAAGCGGCTGTCCTGTGTCCAGATGGAAATGTAAATGTAATTATTTAAATCCCAGACTACCTGACTACCTAACCCATATCGTCAGTTTTTACTACATGCATCGAATCATTCATAACTGACCACAAACATAAATGGAAGTAGGAGGGCCCTTCCATTACTAATTTGATATGTAGCTATATTGAAAATTTGCCCGAAACTGGAAACCACAATTTTACTAGTAGAAGAATTACTTGCCCGTTGACGTTAAAATTAAATGAATTTGATATTTCAGAACCCGACTGCTGATCTCAAATTTGAAGATTAACAATTCATTGGAACATGGAATAACTATATTGGAAAATACGTCAGATCAAGCTGAGAATGAATACATGTTTTGTGGGGAGAAAATCGGTAACTGGAAGTGGACCCTCTCAAGCAGTGATGAATTTCACAAAATGTTCAAAATACCACGACCGGCATCGAACCATGGACGTCCCTCATTCGCTGCCTGACCTCATAGCTTACAGATTACTCGTCTACGCTACTAAACCGTCGTCAGATATGTTCTTAGGTGGTATTTGGACAATATTAATATGTGATGACAAATAGTGAATGATCTCTTTATGTTTTTAAAGATTCTATTTGATGTGTACAGTGTTTGTGTTGCATTCTAAAATAAACCGCAAATAAATTTCATGTCAATTTTAAATCTTCTAAGCCAATCTTTTAACTATAGTTGTTTTGTAAGCAGTAATAGTTACATTTTGATATTATACCTATATTTATTATTGTAATACTGTTGTATAATGCTGTTTCTTCCTCATTGTAGCTTACATATAGGATAGCATACTTTGCTATGATCTTTGATCACAGTTGACAATACTTGATTAGGGTTAATGATTGTACGCGTTTGAAATGTTGATTTGATATCATTATAACCTTTACTAATATTCAGATGAATGAATTTGATGTTTTATTTTTCCTCGGCACTATTGAAAATCCTTTAAGGGATGGAATCGGCACTGTCAAATATCTTTAAAAGGTTCGTGAACGAAATTACAATCGATCTCTTGACGAATTTCAGCCTAAAAATTGTTTTGACTCGCGTAGCAATATGAAGCCCGCGGCATTCGCCGGGGTGTACTAATTAAGGGGGCCAGGGGGGGTCTTAATCAAAATTCTCTCGAAATCGACTTTATAGTTGTTTCTAATAGAGGGGAGTAATATTTATCAGCTGCTTTTGGTCTCATGGAAAAATATTTTTCGTCATGTTCCTAGCCGCGCGAAATTATCGCTGGTTAAAGGTCATGAGCGCTTATGGTTTATGTGTAATTTGTATCACGTCGTGACACCCATCGTCGTTTCACTATAGTGTATAGAGTTTGTATGATACAGGAGGAGCCGCGTACTCGTGCGCGGCGGGTCATACAATTACAACGTATGACAATGTGTAATTGTATATCATATATATTGTGTATTGCGCGAGCGATTTTCAATCGCGCGTTTCTAAAAATTGATTCTAAAAATCTAGATCTCCTCCTACAGCTAAATTTTTGAGCAATCACCCTCAAACTTTTAAAATATGTTTTTATACAGGGTGGGCCATGCAAAAGTCAGTAACCATACGTTGGCCTTTATAGCTCAGTTACTGAGTGCCCAATTTAAATACTTCAATTCCTTCTGGTATGACTTAGTACCACCATTGGTTCGAGGAATTTGTCAACTCGAAAAATATTCGCGTTACGTTCATTTTTTTTCAAATGGAAGTTCATTTTCAGATCACATTCATTTGATAGTTTGGATAGTCGGATCAAGCTAAATGTTATTGAATTGTGTTTGGCCATTCGAATTACGTTTGTCCTGAAAGAATTGGCTTTTACTAATTCGCTCGCCCAAAAATTTCACGTGACTTTGGTTTTTATGGTTTTGCAGCCGCACAAAATGGTTTTACATAAACCCTAACCATAACCCCGAAGATATCCATAACCCTTACCACAACCCTAACCCTAACCCGAGCCCTAAACAATCGAATTCATGTTTTACTAGCCTGTCACGTGACCAAAACGGTTTTTTCCTCTCCAGGGAAGCATTTTTACCCTACGTTGTGGGGGGTGATTCGGAATCAGCGTTCAAAAATACACCGATTGAGATTAATTTCATACCGAAAGGGCCTTTTCAC